ACAGTGTGGTTCAACGCAAGAATTTCGATGTGTCCCTGAGGCAAAAGTTGTTCAGTTCATTTTTCTGCATAACAGGGCTGCATCCCTGCCGACCGCCAACCCCGACCGCCAACCGTATTGCAGCCGACCAGTAGGGCCGACCGGTCGGCGGTCTGCCGACCAGGCAGAAAACAACCATCCACTGATTTTTTTTCAAATCTGAGTTGGGGGCTGTACTGCGCTTGCCGAGTACAGCCCAAATCCGCTGAGAAACTTTTGGGTATGGGGGGGGTTGGGGTTGGAGGAAGGGGGGGTGTAGGGGGGTATAGGGGTGATATAGGGGGTATTGGGAGGGGTAATGAGGGTGTTGGGGGCGGTTTGGGGGTGTTGGGGGGATGTATGGGGGTATTGGGGGCCGCTATGAGGGTGTTGGTGGTGTTATTAGGGGTTCTTTTCTTTTTTGTGGGGTACTGATGACCACCGACCGGTAGGTGCGGGGCAGCTGATCAGTTGGCGGGTCGGCAGCCGACCAGTCAAGGGCCACCGTCCGTCGGGTCGCAACCTTGCTGCATAACATAATTTTTTTTCAGTTTTTTTTTTTTTTTTTTTTTTTTTTTTTGCGGGGACCTTCTGTGGTCCTTGCACGGCCAGGCTGCCTGGGCAAGCAAGGGACCCGGGCGGCCCGGCTGGTAGCCTAGGTCTTGCAGGGATTGTCGGATATGCTTGAAACTGGGAAGCTCGGAAAGATCAAGCTGGATTATAACATTGCTGGATCCTCCAGTGAGGAAGATGTCCTCGTTCTTTTCTTTGGGCTTCAGAACCATCTTTGTGTCGCTGTCTTTGCTGGTACCGGGTTGTAAGAATGGAATTCAGGTGCTCCTGCTCCACCAACTAGATGGTTTCCTCAAGTGGCATCCATTTTCTCCATTTCGGCCTATTTTCACATGTTGCCACGAGCTTACCTTGCGGTAGCCAGTTCTTGGCAAAGGCTTGCTTCTGGACATTGAATTGGTCCGGCCCGTCTTCGGCGAGCCCCTTGATTTTGAGCCAACTGCATCTGATCTCCATTTCTGCCTCTCATCTCCCCCCCTAATTCTCCCTCTTTTGGATGTAACCAGCTGCCCCTCCTGGACCACGACCAAAGACGATGAGTCTGCGATTGGGACGTATGGGAGGCAGCCGTGCATTATGTTCTCCCTGACAAAACTGTATCCTCAGGGTTTGTTGGATTGGATTTTCTGAAGGTAGAGACTGCTTTTCCCCCTTATTCACTTGGTTTGCTTATCACGAACTGACAGTGATTCCCTGAGGGCCATTGATCGGTACTGGCCAAGGAGCCTGCGCTCCGAGTGTCGTTCTTCTGATTGGTACCTTTACTGAGGCTTTGTGTTGAGGGCATCTGCCGGGGACTCAGAGCTGTGTGAACCATATAGGCTGACTTTACACTTATCAGGCGCAGGCTGACTTAACACTTATCAGGCGTATACTCTAACCAACTGAGTTATAGGCCCATGCTTGGAACGACGCGCGTTGAAGTAGCGGGATCCTGTGTGCACTCCTTGATTTTTGACTCAAACACATTTTTCCGCCTGTTTGCGCAGTTAGATTAGATCGGTGTCTTTTGCAGCTTTTAACTTTCCCTGTTGCGTGTCATTCTCGGTATCCTTGTTTACATTCTTTAATTCGTTCCCTCAGAACCAGACATACGGAGATCTCAGTTCTGACTTGACCCTCCACCCCCACTTTTCAAAAATCCTTGGCACACCCCTATCTTGCGATCTTTGTGGGCCTACTCTCACTCCGATCAGAAAGTTGCACTGGGCATGAGGTTTGCGTGTCATAAGAGTATCTAGTGTGGGCTAGTAGTACTGTAGTAGGGCAAATGTGCTCGCATTGACTGGTCAGTAGTGGGAGGGACCGTCCTTGTGCATGAGCTTATTATCATTATTGTTTTTGGGCAAAGGAGAGAAAGGGACATCATTTTTTTTCTTCACAAGGAGATGTAATGAGCCCAGTCTCGTCAATCAATCATGTCGTCAGATAGCAATGTTGTGCAATGTCGTGAGATAATCATTCCAGCAAGTCCATCAATTCGAAGTCATTGAAGTACATGATCCTTCATTACTACGAGTAAAGTCTCCAATTCAAGAATATCCAGAGCAGAATAGAAAGGGGGGAAGAAGAGGCAGATGGAAGGAAATGAATATCGTAACAACCGATTCCCTCTTCTCCTCCAGGCTTCCCCACCTCCGCCACGTCAGCAATCTGTACACAATATGACACGTGGATGATGTAACCACAGGTCTCGCAGATGAGTGATCCTCCAGCAGCGAGCAGTATCAGCAGCAGCAACACATCAGGTAAGACCAGGTACGCACGCACGGCATCACCTTCCATCCACTCTCTCTCTCTCTCTCTCTCTCTCTCTCTCTCTCTCTCTCTCTCTCTCTCTCTCTCTCTCCTCACTACCTAGCCGTGGACTATGTTTGCAGCAATGGCTGCCTTCTCCTTCCTCTATACTACAGCATCGGACTGGCGCCCATGAAACAGAGTGGTGCCAGCATCCTCCTCACAAGTCTCACGTGCAGCAGCGAAGCCGTAAGCAACTCACAAGACTGAATGTCCAAGCAGTGGCGAGGTCAACTCTATATAGTGTTGACTCGCGTTGTCCAGGGTCAGCTTCTGTCTGTGTGACGCCTCGGACCGTCCGATTGTCGACTTCTTTGTCCCAGTTCGGTCTGGACTCCTTGAGGCCTGAATCTTTCGGAACCTGCAGACCACTGTTAGATCATTGCAGATCGACGGCCAGGAAATCTTATGTGTTGACTTTGACTTTTCGGATCTGGGCCTGGTTCCACGAGTTGACTGTTGCCATTTCGGTCAACTGTCGGTCTGGGCCTCTTCCTAGGGACTATTTGAACCCTTTTTCAGGGCCTGTCCGTTTGTGCTTGTCTGAGGGCTCAAGCGGCTCAATTTTGGCACACGAGGTACAGCAGGGGAGTTCTAGTATGGTTCTTGTCGATTGAATGGAGGAGAGGAAGGGGCATCAATTCTTAACCAGAAGTTTTGAATATTGTCATTATTAAATGATTATTTTGAACATATGTGCAATGAACCTCCTAGTTCAACACCAGTGAGCGCACATATTCACACCACATGCGTGTATGAGATCACACGAAATTCACATTGGATACGAGAGAGGTGAAGACCAGGTAGCGCAGCTTTTCTTTTCCAATAAGTAGTACAAGAGCAATAAGAGTTCCGAGTCACCAGCGCACAACAGCGCATGTCATAGGTAACCAAACATCCAACATAATCACCCAGGTAAGTATCTTCTTCCTCTCTGCTCTTCTCTCTCTGTTGTATCACCCCTCCTTCCTGGTCTTCTCCCTAGCTTATGACCTCACTGTATCTTCTCTCCCTACATGCATGCTCACGCACACTAACTTCTACTCAAAGATCTACTCTGAATACACCCACTGTCAACTCTACTAATCCCTCTGAAGTCTACTACTAACTGCTAACAATAACACCCTGCGCTGGCGGAGCTATGGCTGCCTTCTCCCTGCCAGCACTGTCTTCTTCCTCTCTCTCACTCTTAGCACAGCACTCTGGCTTCAGCGCTCGGCCCCTCACATCAGCGCACAAGTGCACCAGCACTTCCACACTTCTTGCGAATGAGCAATCTGCCTTTTCTCTCGTGGGATGTGACTCCTCAAAATGGCTTTTTATTATAAGACGTGACTCTTGTCCCTGAGATGTGACTGTTTGCTGGGTGCCTGTTGGACCAGACTGCTGAGGTACCCAACTGTGACTTTTCTGAGATTGACGAACTCGGCCTTTTCTTGACCAGTGCATCTGACCCTGAGATCCGAATTTGGGATCTGAATGGTGGAAGGCCTTTCGCATGCCATCATTGCTTTGTTCTCGACTCAACTGTGGCACATGAGAACACAGTATGCCTSCCCAATCATTAATGGGATTTAATACATGTCCATGCAGGTTTTGCTAWWWTAGCAAAACCTGCATGGACATGTATTAAATCCCATTAATGATTGGGSAGGCATACTGTGTTCTCATGTGCCACAGTTGAGTCGAGAACAAAGCAATGATGGCATGCGAAAGGCCTTCCACCATTCAGATCCCAAATTCGGATCTCAGGGTCAGATGCACTGGTCAAGAAAAGGCCGAGTTCGTCAAACTCAGAAAAGTCACAGTTACCTTTGGGCTTTCCTCGCTCTAGGTGTTTTTTGGGGAATTGTGGGATAGAGGATTGCATGCATCAGAGGTGACCAGAAGACAAAATCTTGTGTTAAATCGCCAGCCCATTTACCAGCTATTTTGTTTTGATGCGGCGATTAGCAGGCCGCGTCAGCAAGCGCTCTGCCTACTGGACCAGAAAGGCTTGCCGCATATCGCTTCCCTGTGCCGGTCATTTTTGTTTTTTTTGCTGACACACTGCGCAGCAGAAATTCAGGTTGGGAAAACGAGGCCTGGAGGGACCAGTTGCTAAAGGGAGGGATATAAGAAAGGAACAAGAGGTCAAGAGTTTTGCATTCTGTCCAGCAGCGCCTCACCTCCTCCAGAGAACAGCACAGTGATGTGTTCTGGCCTAAATTTCTCACCGTCAGACGAGTTGTGAGAGGTGGAGAATGGCCCAAATCACCATTCCAAAGAAGAAGAAGAGCAAGAGAAGGAGAAAACAAAGAGACGGAGAGTTGAAAAAGTTTTTGGTCACCTGTGAAGCTGTGATTGGTGAGGTTTATTTATCAGGTCAGCAATTGAACTGTACAACTGACTGTGCTGTTCCGTGTCCGAGTGAGATGAATAACCAGCCCTTGGCTATAATGCCAATGTCAAATTACTTTGGTGGCAAACTGCAGCAATGGTTGTAGAGAAACAAGCGAATGTTTTGGTGTACAGTGTTTGCAAAGAAAGGTGTGGTCGTTTACATATGAGCACAGTATTTAGTGCGCCTCTTTTCTTTAGGGACTCATAGCAATGTATTTTTCATCATGCAGGCTTACAGGGACTTCTGGGATGCCTTTGTGTCTGTTGTCTTCAACAAAGACCTTGTTATTAGACAGCAGAGTGTTGTTCCCTTTATGTTCCTGCTTCCCAGGTAAGCACGGTCGTCAAAATGCTTGTCCTCTATCTGTCTCCTCTGTCCCTGGTGGTTGCCTCTCCATTTCTCTTCCCTTCTTTCTGTCGCTCATACCACTGCCTCCTTACGTTTATCTCTCCCCTTAGCGCTCGTCCCCGACATCCCCTTCCTTCTCACCTTCCTCTCACGTCATTTTTCTGGTTCTGAAGAATCTCAACTTGTTGAGCCTGCTGTTCTACCACTTCGCTACCTCTCTTCTTTCCTCTTTTGTATAGCCAGTTTGTGAGACAGCTGAGGCCTTGCTCAGGTGCTAAAGATTGCTCTTGCATCAACTATTTAGATCTATCTGGTGCATCTAGTTTATCATGTTTATGTTAACTAGTTAACTTATTTGGCTGGTTGTCTCCGCTGTACATTGAACTTCATTACTGTTTTGATTGCTTCCACTGTCTGTGCTGATCGCCAACTAGAGCTAAACAAAGAAAAGATGAAGATGTGACATATTGTTGGTTCTGGATGCTTCTTTCCTAGGTTCATTACTCTACGCATTTGCGTATGCACATTGGATTAGCTAATGAGCAATGCAATTCTGCATATCAATGACACCCCGGCTCTCGGTATCTGTCAACAACCGTCTTAACCCGAATATAACATACTGTCGTTTGGCTGCATCTGGACAGACAGTTGGGCCAAATACAGACATAATGACCGTACGTTCTACTCAGGGGAAGATGGTATACCGTCCTTTGGCTGTTTGTCTCGTCTGTGCGTTGAACTGCATTCGTCTTCTAATTGCTTTCACTGTCTGTGTTGATGGCTGATTGCTCTATTCGTGTGCATTTTGCAATGGATTTGTTACTAACACAAGAGAGGAAATGCAATTCTGCGAATCAATCACACCCATGCTCTCAGTATCCAATGACTGGATCGTTTAACCTTTTGTTCTTGTAAAAACAGATCGTTTTACCATTGTTAATTACTGGGGATTCACATGATGCCGATGGGATATGGTAACCTCAGGGCCGCTACCGTCTTCCCCTGAATAGAACGTAGGTCCCAGTGCTAGTCATCTGTGAAACATTTTCTCAGCCTCAGAGAGAGAGAGAGAGAGAGAGAGAGAGAGAGAGCTTGAACACTTTTGCTTCTTAGATTCACATCTGAGTTAGTGTGGGAGAGATTCTGTGAGATCCATCGCCATGATGAGGGTGAGGAAGTATCAAGGATGTCTCTTCATGGCCCTGGCGTTGAAGTTGGCTTGCAAGAGAGAGAGACCTCGCTCTCTTAGTGTGAGAGAAGGGCAAGTCTGGTTGAATATAGCTCTGGCATTGGAGTGGCAACAGGATCTCGAAGGCATTAGAGAGGCTGATATTAGCAGTGCTGACTGAGGAGAGAGTTGTGTGCTTGTCATGGCTGGAAACTTTCACTCGTCCACTTAGGAGTACGAGGAGAGAGTTGTTGCACGACCACTGGTTACTTTGGCAATGCGACATGAGATTAAGCTTTTGTTAGGCTTTGCGTTAGAGTAGTTTGTTAAACCACCAGTACATCCGAAAAAGCAGATTGAGCCTCTCCTAAAAATTTCGGAGGCCATGGACCGTCGCTAAAATGAATTGGCGGTTCATAGCCACCTATTTTTCAGGAGAGGCTCAATCTGCTTTTTCGGATGTACTGGTGGTTTCAACCGCCAGTACCTTTCCCATATGTTTGCCGGGGGGCCTTGCTAAGGATTCGGTCTGAATCTGGCCGTCGCGCAAGGCCAGTGCTGGCCTCCGTGTTAACCGGCGACCTTTAGAACTTTGGCTGGGAAAGGTACTGACGGCTTAAGGTTATATTTGCTACTTTGCCAATTTGACACGAAGTTAAGCTTCGTATTGGAGTAGCTAACCAAACTCTTGGCCTTTTGGCTTTGGGCCTTTGGAAATGGGGTACAAGGTCAAGCTGCGTACTGGACTACTGTCCTCCCCCAAGTAGATTCAATAGAACTTGCGGTCATTATAGCTGTGTTTGGGGACTCCGCAGGGTTAGCTAAGAATTCCTCTCGCCATACCGTCTTCACCTGAATAGATTGTACGGTGATTATGTCTGTTTTTGGTGCAACTTTCAGTCCGGATGCAGTGATAATGAGGGTACGTTCTATTCAGTCAGGAGTCGCAAGAACTCTTTTTTGAATTAATTGCAGTCTCACACATCCTGAATTTCATATTCTAAGCATGACCTCGGTAGAAGAGCTCGTTGAGTATGTTGCTTGGAGAAGAGGAAGAAGTCTAAAGAACTAGCGTTTGAGCTTTGAAACCTCAAGCTGCTCAAAGATGTGTCACACGAAGAAGAAGCAAGTTTGAACTCTGAAGCAAGTTTAAACTTTTTTGAAGCCTTAGTGGGGCCGAATACGTGGCGACGTCGGAGGCTGTTGTTCAGCTGTGCAACGCGTTGGGTTGCGGAGTGATTCCTCGTGTGACGCCGCGGTGGTGGGTGAAGCGCAGGACAGGAGGCACATGGGAACCTCAGGCAATGCGACGACGCGACAGACGACGTGGAAGAAGACAACGACGAGAAACAGCACGACGACGAGGAGCAGCAGAGGCAGCCTGTGCAGCAGGTCGGCCATGTAAGGGCCGTTCAAAGGGCAACAAACCGACGACAGCGGTCGACCGTCCAACGAACAAGCCCGTGGACACAAGAAAGATCGGTGGAAGATCTGTGCTCCAACGTGCGAGGTGTGACGACAAACGAAGAAAACGACGATCTTCTGCAATGAAATTGTCGTCGTCGAAAGGGGCGCCGGTTGGGAAAAGCATTCGAATTTCGGACCGTTGTCGACGATCGCCCGCCGCAGCAGACCGCAGGACGCCAGCCGGCAATTTGCGTAGACGGACGGAGGCCTCACGCCGACGGTTACCGTTTGGAGCCGTTGGGGCGCCGTGCAGATTTTCGACGCAGGGATGTCCGTGCTCCCGTTCGCTGGACCACGTCTGGACCACCCAGGAACCGAAAGTGTGCGTCGACGCATGCCCTCGCCGCTCCGAATTTCGCGCTTCCTTGTGCTCCGTGGGACCTCGGGAGGTCCCTTGGGGGTTAGGAAAAAATGGTTGTGGCCACAAGGACGCCACAAGGAAATCTCCTTGTGGTGTTTTCACTTTTTTTTTCGAGAATCGTCCCCAAGGACAGGTGGAATGATCATTTCCTTGTGGATTTCGGGTCCACAAGGAGTGTCTAACGAGGCTCAATTCCACAAAATTCTGAGCAGCCTCTTTCAGTCCCATGTTGTTGTTTTTTTTCCCATGGTTATTTTACTTTTCTTTTTTTTTTTTTCTTTTTTTTTTTTTTCGGGAAAAGATGAGAATCCATTATCAAAGCATATAACTTTGAGGCCGGGAATTTTTTTTTTTTTTTTTTTTTGGGKGGGGGGGGGGGGGKAAMAACCCGAGCGGATGCTAGGGGTGCTGGTAAGAGCAGTCACCACTAGCACTGTCGGGGAGGCTCCATCTATTGAGGCCGGGAATTCCTCACAAACAACCCGGAGGGGATCAGGGCCTGCAACAGAGCCCAAATTCAATGCAAGTGAAGCTGATGATTCATTACTATCGCTTCTAATCCCATTCTGGTTTATCAAGCCCTCTGCTCTTCTAAATCTGACGAACTGAGAAGAAGAAAAAAGAGGAGTTTGGCCAACAGCGGCCTGCACTTTCCAAGAATCATGTTGACACTGCACCCACTACTCCAATTGTGTCCACCACTTTGCTGCCTGCCTCCTGCGACAACTCAACCGAGTGTCCTGGTTCCTACACTCCTACTTGTAACCATGAACTGAATTCCAACCTTGCTTCCCTATCTACATTCACCAGCCACTTACCCGTCTTACCCCGACCCCAAGAGTTCAAAAAACATCTCCTACTCCTACTATTACTCTGTTTGCAACATTTCTTCCTGTGCCAATCCGCTTTGCATTTGCAATATATATATTTTATTTTATTTTTTGGAAAGCATTCACTTGTATTTCAAAAAGCTGGGACGAGGCCGGGGACCTCACAATTCAACCCGGAGTTATCCTGGCAGCCTCAGCCAGTTTCGCTTAAGCCCAACGGCTTGAATCTCCCAGGTACTCTTCTCACCCGCTGCTGGAAACCGGGTCCAGCGTCCCATGCTTCCTCGAAAAAACTAAGAACCTTTCCAATAACCTTGAAGCTCAGAAAAAAAGGGGAGGATGCTTACCCAGCCCAATAAGGCTTTTGCCCTCAACTTTTATCTGTCTCCATGCCCATATAAGTCAGTAAGCCTGGGCATATAGGACTTAAAAACCGGGTCCTCTCAAGGGGCTGTAATCAATTTATACTATAATTCTGACAACAGGAAGGCAAAACTCGCCTACTACGGCTAACCTTTTCCCACCCGGGCCTACAGTCGGCTCTACATGCTTCCCAGTCAGTCGTGCGTATCATAAAGCCAAGTGCAGATGGTAAATCTCCCTTCCTGGTCAATTGTAGCAAATCTGCTATTTCGAGCCCAATTCCTCTGGAACCAAACACAGTTTTTCTGCTGCCAGTCTGCCTGAATGATGCACCTGATGCATTGCTTCACTCTGAGCTGCTGGTGAACCTTCGACATTTCCTCTCCTCGAAACACTCTCGTATTTCGAGCCGCCCAGATTGTTTCCATTAAAACACCTCTACAGCACAGTGCCACATAATCCCACTCGGTAGCCGCTTGAAAAATGTCCGTCAACATCCAAAAGTCTGACCATATAAACCCATTATGCGTTATAAACCCCCAGTGCCTCTTCCACCACATCATGAGTTCATCCACTAGTGGGCAGAAGAGCCACAGATGGAGCATATTTTCCCACCCCCAGTTGCACCTCAAGCACTGCGTCTGAATCTCCATCCCTCTGTTAGACAGCCACATTGCTGTTGCTGTGACCATCAGAGATTGGAGCCACATGATACTCGCTTGTTTCTGTATTGGGTGTTTCCTCAGAGCCTTCCACAGAATGGACAACCCTTGTTCTGTTACTCCAGCTATTT